CCTGCAGAAGAAAGCCAAGACCGTGCGTTCACACACACCACGACACACACACCCCTCCACACACACACACACACACACACACATGCTGATTTGTGTTTGTTGACAGTTTGCGGTGGAGAACGAGGAGCTTTCTCAACACCTTTCAGCAGCTAAAGACGCTCAGAGACAGCTGACCGCAGAGGTACACACACACACACACACACACACACACACACACACACACACACACATATGATCTGACAGCAGTGTGTGTGAGTGTTGCTGAGTGCTGTCGTCTCTTCACACACACACAGCTGCAGGAGCTGCAGGAGAAGTACTCGGAGTGTGTGGAGATCCTGCACGAGGCTCAGGAGGAGCTGAAGAACCTGCGCAACCGCAGCGCACCGGCAGGAACACCCCGACGATACCATCAGCTGGGCCTCTGCCCCATGGTACACACACACACACACACACACACACACACACACACACACACACACACACACACACACACACACACACACACTGAGTTTCCATAAAGACTATTTTTAAAAAGTATATTTTGCTCATGACTAAATTTGTATTTGTATCTGTGTGTGTTTCTCTGTGTGTGTTTCTGTGTGTGTGTGTGTGTGTGTGTGTGTGTTGTAGGACTCTCTGGCTGCTGAAATCGAGGGAACCATGAGGAAGGAGCTCAGCTTGGAGAATCCTGATGATGAAGAGCAGAGGTTATTCTCACTGTTTCAGTGTGTGGGTGTGTGTGCGTGTGTGTGCGTGTGTGTGCGTGTGTGTGTGCACACTCAGTAATCTGTGTGTGTGTGTGTGTAGGGTCCGTCATAAGCGTGTGTTTGAGACGGTGAAGAGCATCAATCAGTCCGGCAGACGGAGCTCCTCTGCTGATTCGCCATCAAACATCCCGGGGTCCAATCAGACGCTCCCGTCTCCTGGCTCCGCCCACTCGGACAGCAGTGCAGCTCTGGATAACCGAACACAGAGTCTGATGCAGGAGAGCGACTGCGCACACACACCGTGAGTGTGTGTTACTGACTGTGCAATAGTGGGTGTATGTTAGTGAGTGTGTAATAGTGAGTGTTAATGAGGGTGTGTTTATGAGAGTGTAATAATAAGTGTGTTTATGAGTGTGTGTTAGTGAGTGTGTGTGTGTGAGTGTGTGTGTGTGTGTAAATGTGTTAGTGAGTGTGTGTTTGTGAGAGTTTAATAGTGAGTGGTTGTGTGTGTGTGTGTGTGTGTGTGTGTGTGTGTGTGTGTGTGTGTGTGTGTGTGTGTGTGTGAATGTGTTAGTGAGTGTGTGTTGGTGAGAGCTTAATAGTGAGTGTGTGTTGGTGAGTGTGTGTTGGTGAGTGTGTGTTTGTGAGAGATTAATAGCGAGTGTGTGTTGGTGAGTGTGCATTTTGAGTATGTGTGTGTAATCAATGTGTGTGTGTGTGTGTGTGTGTGTGTGTGTGTGTGTGCAGTGTCTCAGAGAAGCGCTCGGGCTCAGAGGAGCTCCAGCGGGCGCTGCGGCGTCTCTCTCTGCGCCGGCAGAACTGTCTGAGCGAGCGGATCTACTTCGAGCGGCGGAGGGAGAGTCTGAACCTGACCGACTCACTGCTCCACTGCGACAGCATCATGTCCTGCTGGACCAGCCGACCATACCTGCCCAACAAACTGCAGATAGTCAAGCCTCTGGAAGGTGATACATACACACACACACACACACACACACACACACACACACACACACTCACAAAAACACACCCTCACACACTCACACTTATACACAAACACACGCTCACACATACACAGTAAACATGTGTGTGTGTGTGTGTGTGTGTGTGTGTGTGTGTGTGTGTGTGTGTGTGTGTGTGTGTGTTGTTCCTCAGGCTCTGCCACCCTCCAGCACTGGCAGCAGTTGGCGCAGCCTAATCTGGGCGGGATCCTGGACGCTCGGCCCGGTGTTCTGCCTAAAGGCTTCCGGCCGCTGGAGCTGGAGCTGGAGCAGGTCTACCCCTACCCCGAATACGAGGAGGACGAGCCGGGGGAGCAGTACTTCCAGAACCTGCCCACCACCACAGCAGCAGCCAATCACAGCGCTGCTCCAGTACACAGCCACGCCCCCTCAGCCTCACCCTCGCCCTCCTCAGCTCAGGCCACGCCTCCATTGAGTTCTCCAGTAAGAGCTGTGCTGACGCACACACAGATTTAACATGAAGCATTGACGGATCACGGCTGTGTGCTCGCCCACACTCCTGCAAACCACACTCAGCCTGAATATTTAATTTCATATTTAAGTGTATATTTATACATTCACCATGATTAGATCTAAAGTCTTTAATTTCATTCATTAATGAACTAATTCAGATTAATTCAGTAATTGATTAATTCACTGATTCCTGTAGAGTGGGTTAACTCTTTAAAAATAAACAATGGCCATATTGATACTTCAGATCTGTCTATATGGTAAATATACAATAAATTTAAATATAATAATTAATTACCTACATGTTTATTGAATAATAATTATTAAATTGAATAAGTTAAATAATAAATTACTTCTGTAGATAAAGCCATACTATAGGCCTAATACAAAACTACCTGACCATGATGAATAATCGTTGAAATAACAATATGATGATGATAATTGTGTGTGTGTGTGTGTGTGTGTGTGTGTGTGTGTTCAGTGTATTTTCCAGGTAAATGCATGGCTCACACCAGTTCCACATACACCTTCACCACCTGTAAGATCCTGCACCCGTCTGACGAGCTGACGAGGGTGACGCCCAGGTGAGCTGCGCTGCTGTATTGATTATTGATCAGCTGATGATCAGCTCTTCATAATCCAGCTCTGTATTGACTGTGGATCAGCTCTTCATGAAGCAGTCGCTATTGATTATTGATCAGCTTTTCACTATGATGCAGTCCTGCATTGGTCATTGCTCAGTTGCTGATGATGCTCTTGATGCTCTGTGTGTGTGTGTCTCTATACTTGCAAAATAAAATGAAGTTTTGTAAATAAAAAGTAAAGTATTGAGAAAAAAACAAATAAATTAATGCAAATCTCTAAAAATCGCAATTTAGACATTTATATTGCCAACAAAAATAAAGCTCTGCAAAGGGAAAATGAAGATTTGAGAAAGTTTTCAAGAAAGAAAAGAACTGCAAATAAAAATCAGGCAAAGCAAAAAAACTAAAATATTCGCAAAGCTATATATATATATATTTACAAAACATTTCTCATAGCAGAACCCGTCCAGTCCATTGCAGTGCTCATTTTCATTCGCTTTTTCGTCAGCCGTGAGTGTTTTCACGTTTCCGCGAGTTTCACTTTGTGGCCCTGATTTGACAAGGGGGCGGAGTCAAGGGAACGTTTATGGCAGGCCCGGACCTGCCTCCTTTTAAACGACGTCATCACCTGGAGACAGCATCACCGAGGTGGTCTTACAGTCCAGTAGGTCCGGGAATTGCAATTGACTGGACTGGTTTTGTAAAGGCTATGCTATAAAGAATGTTTTACAAATATATATATAATTTTTTTTATTGCAAATATTTAAAGTTTGTTTTTGCTCTGCTGGATTTTTATTTGCAGTTCTTTTTTTCCTTGCAAGTTTTAAATTTATTTGTCAAAACTTAATTTTCCTTTTGCTTTTCTTTATTTTTGTTAGCAAAAGAAACTTTTATTCATTCATTCATTTTCTTTTCGGCTTAGTCCCTTTATTAATCAGGGGTCGCCACAGCAGAATGAACTGACAACTTATCCAGCATGTGTTTTAAGCAGTGGATGCCCATCTCTGGGAAACACCCACACACACTCAATTAACACTCATACACTACAGACAATTTAGCCTACCCAATTCCTCTATAGCGCATGTGTTTGGACTGTGGGGGAAACCGGAGCACCCGGAGGAAACCCACGCCAACACAGGGAGAACATGCAAACTCCACACAGAAACACCAACTAACCCAGCCGAGACTCAAACCAGAGACCTGAGTGCTGTGAGGCGACAGCACTACCTACTGCGCCACCGCGTCGCCCTTAAAGAAACTTTTATTTCTTAAAACTGAATTCTGGAATTGTGATGTTATTTACATAAACTTTAGATGTTCTTTGTAAAACTTTCTTTTATTTTGCAAGTACATATGGCCCTAGATTGACTCCATATCTGTGTGTGTGTGTGTGTGTGTGTGTGTGTGAATGTGTGTTTTTGTGTTTTTGTGGATGCACATGTGTGTTTGTCTGTATGTTTGTGTTTAAGCGAGTGTGAGTGCATGTTTTGAGTGTGTGTGTGTGTGTGTGTGTGTGTGTGTAAATGTGTTAGTGAGTGTGTGTTTGTGAGAGATTAATAGCGAGTGTGTGTTGGTGAGTGTGCATTTTGAGTATGTGTGTGTAATCAGTGTGTGTGTGTGTGTGTGTGTGTGTGTGTGTGTGTGTGCAGTGTCTCACAGAAGCGCTCGGGCTCAGAGGAGC